CCTAAATATGTAATAACAAATGTGCAGGCTGTATGCTCCTTTTCCTGATCTCTTTCCTCCACTAGTCTTAATAACAAGGCAAGGGTCTTGTTTTACATTCTTGTTCTTGGCAGTCTCCAATTGAAGATCAATATTTTTTGTGGGTTTCCATTTATGATATTGCCCTCTTTTATATTTGATTCTTAAATTGTGCTCAGTATATCATTCATTAGATTTTTTTTATAATTTTCATAGTCCTTTAAAATATAGGAAAAAACAGCTAAAATATGTGGTCTTATGTTCAGTAATTTGAACCACAAGTAGGATTCTATAATTTATACATGCACATTCATGTTTCAAGGCAAATAAAGTGATATAAACTGTTTCTTTATCACAGCTAGTACAATTAACTCAACTTCATCGACAAGAACACCTGTTGTGAATAGTACAACAATTGCCACTACTTCTATTATTACTACTAAAACAGGTAAAATTTAGTTTAACAGACATTCATAATGAATTCCGTTGTCTTCAGGAAAGTTACTAGTAAAGCACTTCTTGTGTGAATAAAAAAAGCAAAAGGCAACTGAACTGTGAATGAAATAAAATAGTACATTTTATTTTTTTAATGTCCGTTTTCAGACATTGGAAAACAACAGAGTCAAATTGGGTAATAATGTTCCCTTCCAGGGCAGTAAGGGACCGTGTACAAAATATCTGAATCATAAAGCAGCAGTGTCTTTTTTCAGTTGCTTCATAAGCTGTGTGCTTAGTTATGCTTAGCTTTAATGATTCCAAGAGAAATACTGTATATCCACACTGGACTCTATAGCATCCTCACACGGATGTAAATAATCTGAACAGGTTTAAACAGCAATTGACCTCGCCTACTTGTAGCATCTAATCTGGAAAAGGATTAATTTGTAACTTTTCTTCCATCGAAGAATGTAACCAAACTCTGTTTCATAAAGAGAGAGAACTGTAGAACTGATTTTTAGGTGATAGAAAATAAGACATAGAAAATATAATTCAGGAGCAAATTATTAATTATTATCTTCTTATTTGACAGCCACATCTCTCATACCAACTGCCAAGCCATCACACCACAAAGCAAGTTTTGATGCAGCCAGTTTCATTGGTGGTATTGTACTTGTGCTGGGTCTGCAAGCAGTAATCTTCTTTCTGTATAAATTTTGCAAGTCCAAAGAACAAAACTATCATACTCTCTAGGAAATGTTGCTTTTTTAAGTGGACTTAGAATAGCTCAATATTTATGGTTAGCTACACCAAAAGATGCTTATTCTTTATGGAATACAGCAGTTCAAGATATTATTTTTCAAGACTTAAAAAAATAGGTCTGCAACATGCTTGGAATAAGATTGTGTGAATCATGTCTTGCTGAACAGAAATATTTGCAATATTCTGCATGAACCCTTATTTGCTGTTTTAAATTTCTTTAGTAGCTGCTACTATAGAATCTATTCTTTTATTTGATATGCCAAATGTAGCTGTTAATAGTTATTGTATTTCGTGGCAGCAATGTTCCTGATAGATAATTTTACAATTACAGTGATTTAATTAGGTTTAGATACAATATCCCCCTGCATCATTATTAAAACAGATTACTGTTAACTTGACATAAAAAAATATCTGTGAAAACTATGACTTTTTATCTTGTTCAGCTTGGAAATTGGAAGAGATTTGTAGGATGTTTTTAGGATATTTTTTTCTTAAGAAATATGAATGCCCATATTTTTCCATATTATATGATGTTACAAGGATGATTGTTTTCTAATATAAGTGTAAGCATCTATAGGAAGAATGATGATCAAAAGATACAAGTTCCCTGGTGCGTAAGGAAGAAGGACCAGTGCCTTAATTAGCGGATTGCAAATTGAAGTGTTGTGCCATCTTATATTTTGAGGTTCAGTGAAGAATGTCATTCCATTTGCACCAAGTTTTCTCCATTAGACACATGAACCTCAGCACTATATGCTAACATCATTAACTGTTTTCATATGTGTTAATACAATGTATTGGATCTATATTTTTGAGGAATTAGATCCATTGAGGAAAATACATTGGGTAAGCTACATGTGATGAATTTATCCAACTGATTTTTGTGGGCCTGTTAAATGTGGCAAATATAGATTCAATTTGCTGTATACAGGCTTTGTTTTACTGTTCCTAAAGCCATTTGTCTGTAGCCTTCAAATTACCTGCCTTAGAAAATGCTGTGCTTTTCATATGAAGATAATTTTAGCAAACACAGTTTGTGCTCGCAACATTATGGATATTTTAAAGGTACTGTAGTCCTGCATAGATTTGGGAATATTTTATTCCCACATAGCAATATCCCACCTGTAGGTTTCTTAATACAGTGAATTGTGTGATAGAACAATTATGATAGAAACAAAGTTGAACGCTTGAACTAAGTTATTTTGATTATTCTCTTAATAATTTCTTAATGTTTGTTTTGCAAGTCATATTGCAATTGTGATAAATACAATTGAAATAATCAAAACTCAGTTTATAGGATTAAGTGTTTCTGCTGGATGAGCTCCAGGCAAAAAGGAACTACAGTGCTTGGTATTATGCTGGTGACAAAATTGACTCTGTAGATTCATTGTTAAAAATGTTAACATCATTCTAATTTCCTTAATCCTTCTAATTTGACTAAAGTTTACTTCAATATTAGCTAGAAAGTCAATTTGTAATGTATATTTAGTAGAGAGTACTGTAATTTTAAAGAATCTTCCGACAACTGCACTCATAAAAGACAATAGCTCAGGTGAGTAAAGCAGTGGAACTGACTATTCCATTCAGACATTTCCAAATTAGGTGGTGTGTATTTAATGGCCTTATGGTAGTCATTTTTACCCAGCTCCCCATGGTCTTTATAAATTTAAGTTAAGAAGCTGAAAAGATTGTCAAATTTAACATAACGTTAATGAAATACTAAAGAATGATAGCTTAAAAATGCAGTTAATATTAGATAAACATTCTTCAGACTAAAAAGACTAACAAGCTTTTTACTTTTTGCTTCCATGCTTATTCTTGAATGACTGTTAATATTTATTTTGTAAATTTAAAGGGAAAAATGTTTCAAAACTGACAGTGCAATATGCACTTTCAAAATCAAAATGTGAGATGATTTTGTTACTGAGCCAAGAATACTTGTCAAAGATATTAAAACATGTATTCCTAAATACAGTGAACCCTCCTTCAAGTGCCTTAAGTTTTCTTAATGTTGGCCTCAAGTCAGGAAAAGAAACTTTAATCAATATATCTGCCCCTTAGTATCAGCAGTTGCTCTTTTCCAATGATTTTAGAAAATTCAGGTGTTAGTACTACCTTTCAGGAAATTATATTTTCTATTCGGGTGGCATAAAGCTATATGTTTAGTTACTAGGGCATTTCTAACAATTTCATGCCGTGGCAGATTTGATTTCCTAAACCAGCTTCATCTGTAATCTACCAAACTATAGCAAACACATTAAGGGGCTTCCCTATTATTCACATATTTCAATTCTTTACCATCTAGATTTAGATAGATAAAACTTTGTTTTCAGTATAATGCCATTACATATGAATTAGTAAAAATAGATTTGTATCACTTCTTTGCTGGTTGTTTGAAATTCAGCATATTGTTTGTTTTTTTAAGCAATTGTCTGTATGGAATAAATGATCACGTGGACCTTAATTCCTTAGATAGTAAATTGTGACTTTCATTCTTTATCTGGATTGTTCTTAGAACTCTCATATGCAAATATACTGCATAGGGAATGGAATGTTATAAATACTATGTACTGCATATGTGGTGTTGTCACTGAAAGAAATGCAAATTATTTACAATCGTAATACCAAAATAATAAATCATTTATTAAAATGCTTTTTTTGTCCAAGTAAGTTATTTACAGCATAACAACGTAATAAAACATTACATTGACAGCATGTAACAATGCTCCATGTTTTTATAAAGCATTGATTATTTAGGGGACCCAAGAGATCATTTGTTTAAGAAATATCAATCTACAGCTTTATACAATGCTTGTGCATTGTATACAATGACAATAGGTAACTTTCAAAAGAACAACAATGAAAGCTGAGTATGGCATGACGAAGCCAAAATCTTTTATTCTGATATTATTACTCAAAGCTTTGAAGAAAATATGGTCAGTTTTAGTTAATGACAAATGTAAATAGTACCAGTTTATTTTTGAGATGGGTTTTGCTCTTGTTGCACAGGAAGAGTAGAATGAGAGGTTTGGGTAAGATCTGGCAATAGACCATCTACTGCTCTATTTCCCCATCCTGAAGGTACCTGGAAAGACAACGTTTGTTATTTTTATGGTTTGCACTCTGAATAGCTAATGTTTCAAAGATTTGGGAATGGCTATTTTTTGGAGCAGAATAATTTGGGGAAGCAAAGCAGAGGAAAACCCAGGTGTATACACATGCAAGAATAACCGTTGTTATTTTTTCATAGTGAAGCTCTTTAAAAATAGTGTTCAAATTAATGTACTTGTTGCTTCCTTAACTGCGTAACTTGTTTAATGTTTTCATTAACTTTTCACTACTCACTGTTTTTGGTCTTGGAATCTTCTCTAACTTGGTTTTGGCTGTCAAAAGATGCTGGATGGAATCCTTGGTTAATATGAATGTTGGCAGTTCTGCATTCTGACTGCATGAAGAAGAGCCTGAAATATAAATGCAGTATATAATATAATTGTATATAGTTGTGCATCCAAAAACAAAACCTCTCATTGCCCTCCCCCCTCCTGCAAAAAAAGTCAATGGTAGCTTACCTTCTGTTAGGCAAATTTATCCCTATAAAATACACTGTAACAAAAATAAGGAATGCTTCCTCACACTAGGAAGAAGGATAGCATCACATACCAAAAAGGTGATTTTTTTTCAGGCAAATCTATAACTTTTTTTTTTTTTGCATAACCATGCCTAATAGCATCTTGCCTGACAATTGTAGATGACAGCTGAGTGGGGTTGTAGAGAAGAGATGGAGTTCACATCTGTTCTCTTGACACTGAGACTAGCCAACTAAGAAGCCTACAAGCCATCATGATAGATGCTAGAAGCAGATGTGTTTACTTTCAAGGTTGATACCAATCACTTTTTTCTCCTCTTTGAAAGTCACTCTAGTTCAGGCATGTCAAACTGCTGGCCCGCGGGCCGGATGCATCATACTGAAACCGCGCCCACCCCATTGCCAGCAATGGGGGGAAAGTCGCGATATGTCACGCGACATCATGTGACGTCGCAAGTTTGACATGCCTGCTCTAGTTTAATAGCATCTATTATAGCTGGCTTAAAAGTAGTGTTCTTCAGAACATGTGAAAATGAGAAGACTGTTTGGGACAATCTTTCCATGTTCTGTTCTGTTTATGTTAACTGGTAATATTACAACCTCTCCCCAGTTGAACAGGTACTGCATTTGGTCTCTAGTATATTTCCAAGCACCTCTTCTAGGTCACATTGAAGCAACTGCATATCCCTTCTTGAAAGTATACCATTTACAAACATCCTGTGGTTTTCAGCATTTTGGGAAGTGTTTCATAATCTCTTATGAGCTCAGAGTACTTCCAAAATATTCAGTGTCAGTTTCACATTTGATGCAAGCCATTTTTTGAAATTTTGTGGTTCAAACATTTCAAATCAAAGCATTTGGTGTACGTCTACTTCTAACAATATAAACAGAGCACAATATGCAATGATGTCATTGCACAAGACCAGCAGTACATTCTAGGCTTTGATTAATTTGTACCGTTAATCTTAGAGCTTGGAACAATTTCTGGAATATTTTTGTGCACAGGTACACAATGCTACATTATATTCTTTGTTAATACATCCCATTCACAGCTCTACATAGAAGAGATGCTTATTCAGTAGAATGTTTTGATTGCTGGTGTGGATGACAATCGACGTGTGTGAATGAACTTTATAACAATCTGAAAAGAATGCATCTGAAATCTTGGCAATATTTTTGAAGGGGATTGCAACTGCTTCTGAATATTTTTCCCTCTAATTTCTAGGCCCTGGATATTCTTGATGATATCCCATCCAAATATAAGACCTGATCCTGTTTAGCTTTTTTGACATTAGTCCAGGTTAGCTAGGTTATCCTTTAAATTACATTCTTGCCAGGATGTAGCTGTAGCAATCAAAGCAATCTAGTAGGATTTACTAGGAAGTTGATCCTAGAAGATGACAGGTGCAAACCACTTTAATACTTTTGTCTATCTGTCTACATACACAGTATAACACAGTGATATGTCCATGTAATCACCAGAGGTCACGCTCAACTCAGGACATTGTAAACATTTTGGTGGCAATGAGATAGTAATAAATTCTGATTGTTTTTAAAAACATACCTTCCATGAACTTTATGTGCTTTTATATAATAGACTAATAACTACTTGGTAAAGGAAGCCCACGTGTTTATATATTTTTCCTTGCAGCTTTCCAAGATAGTATGCTAAAGTTAAACTGAGAAATGAGGTTGATAGCTTAGTACTTCTTACCTGAAAAATAGTAATGTTTACTTTTGGTAATGTGTGAAAGATTAGCAGACCTTCTTGTAACTGAAAGTAAGAACATAAATCTAAGATGAATTTAAGATAAACTATGAAAAATACAAAATTATCAAAACTTCTACATTTTTAACAGACGCATCACTTTTTGTTAGATTTATATTCTGCTTTCAGAAGCTAGGGATGTCATGTTTAGGCTATGAATCATCAGATTTCAAATTTAGTTAACATTAAAATGGATAAGATTGGATCTTCTGACATTGTTTCTATTGCTGAATGCAAGACTATATCTAAATAAGTGGATATAATTACATTCTCAATTGCTTATACTGTCTTAGCTTTCTTACAATTCAATAACATTATTTCAGAATAGAGGTATGCTATAAAGCAGCTGCTGCTTGATTAGTATGATATTGTCAAGCATAGAGAAATCCTAACTTTAAGCATTTGTGAATGTAAACAGAATCAAGAGTTCATCCAGACTTCAGCAAGTAAATCTCCTATAATGGAGTTTTAAATTGTTTCTTCCCTATTGTACAAGTAGATAATAGTTGTGCTATTTGAATAATTAAGAACTGGTATAAATATGATGTTCACAGAGATTATTCCTATATGGCAATGCTTCATTACTGATGGGGATTTAATTAACTTATATGATGCAGGTTTAAATATATGCAAGTGTTTCATGGAACCAAATTACCTGGATCTGTATTTTTGGGAGTATTTATAATTATGTAAAAAAATTATATGGCTCCTATCAGAATATAATTCTGGGTGAATCACAACAAAACTACAAAAACATTAAAACCATAAAATTCTGTGCCTGAAAAGTCTTGAAGTCTGGATGAACCTATAACCATCTGCAGATTCTGTCACTGCCCCAGCACCTGAACCCACAGCAAGGTGTTGATGGCCTTCTGGAAGGCTAAAAGGGTGGATGGCTGCCAGATCACCAGAGGGAAGATGTTCCACAAGACAGGGCAACCATAAAAAAGACACCAGATAGCAACATTTCAGAGAAAAGACCTGAGCATAGCTACCCCATCAGTCGAGTGGAACAGGCAGATGGGAGAACAATTCCATTGATAAAGAGAATATTTGTAGCTCAGGGTTGAACTGTGGGGTCCTTGGGGCTCTCTGAGTTTGGGGGGGATCAGACATTTCATTACCCATAATGCAGTAATGCTGTTACTTAGCTGAGTAATGAGATGTTTGCAAGAAAACAACTAAGCTCAGAGAGCACTACATATTCTCATGACATGTAAGGCTTTAGAGGTGATAAGTAGCACCTTGTATTGAACCCAGAAGGAAAATGGGAGCCAGTGCAACTCATGAAACAGGACTGTAATGTGGGCAAACTTGGGAGTGCCCATCATTGCATGTACTGCATCCTGAACCAGTTGTAGCTTTTGGGTGGTGCTCAAGGGCAGCCCCATGTACAGTGTAGTATACTGTGGTACTCCAAAAGGGAATTGACCATAAGCACAACCTCCTAGTCCAGAAAAGTTCACAATCGTTGGAACAACAATAATTGATCTAGATACTGCTGATCCCACCTGCTCCATAAGTAGGAGTAGAGAGTCCACAAGAACCTCAAATTACACGCAAGCTCAGTTTGGGGAGTGCAACCTTGTGTGGAGTCAAATGACCTATCACCAAAATCCTGGGAGGTTGATGATATATCACCCCAGGCCACATAGACAATGCTCTTGCAGTGCTGACCAAACAGTTTGTGAGGTTGTGAGGACCTGGATGGGCTGGAACCAACTTTGACTCATCCCTGGCAATCACAAAATAGTGGCTCCTGCTCCAAAACCCCAAGGCCAATCTAGAAAGATACCATTGTCAATGGTATTGAAAGCTGCTGATAAGTCTAGGACAATGGTGGCGAACCTATAGCACGGATCCCAGAGGTGGCACTCAGAGCCTTCTCTGTGGGCACGCGCGCCGTCGCTCCAGTCCTAGGCCTTCAGCTGGGTTTTATAAAACCTTTTCGCTTTAGGCCTCCATCACCATGTGCAAAAAAAAAAAGGTTCAATCAGTCAATTTCAACTTCTCGCGGGGAAAAAAAGATCTTGCAAAGTTGGAATTGATTGATTGAACTTTTTAGTCCCACCCAGTCTGCCATTACCACCGCAACCACGCCCACCCAATGGGCCACGCCCACCCAATTGGCAACACTCAGCCAATGGGCCACACCCACCCGGCACTCGACGATGCATAAGTGGGTTTTGGGTTGCAGTTTGGGCACTCAGTCTCTAAAAGGTTCGCCATCACTGGTCTAAGACAGGGGTAGGCAACCTTGGCTCTTTTATGACTCATGGACTTCAACTCCCAGAATTCCTGAGCCAGCCATGCTGAGGGAAAAGTGAGAGGTTTCCAAGCTGAGCTATGCTGGCTCAGGAATTCTGGGAATTGAAGTCCACATGTCATAAAAGAGCCAAGGTTGCCTACCCCTCGTCTAGGAGAACCAGGATGGTTGCACCACCCTTGCCCCAAGCCCATCAAAAGTCAATAGCAACTACAAGCAATGTCTTCTCCAGCCTAAATCCACACTGAAAAGGTCTGTATAATTCACTTCCCCCAGGGCCTTCTGAAGTTGAGTGCCAACCACCTTCCCCAAAAACATCTGGATGAAAAATGTCTAATATGATTGGTCCAAGGATGGGGCGCATCTGTGCCTCCTTCAAGGCAGATTGTGCCAGTCCCTCCCACGTGTATTAACCACCATTTGGAGCCAAACATATGCCACCTTTGAGGACATCTTAATCAGCCAAAAGGGGCCTGTTAGCTGAGCTCACAACCATGGAAACCCTGTTCGCTTTCTTAGGATCAACTGGCTCAAGCTCCTGCCAAATTAGAGGACTCGGATGTGTCTTGATTATTTCCAAAGGATCTTCCCAATCAGAGTCCAATCCTGAGCGAAGTTGAGCAATTCACAACAGTCTTGCAAGGGCTCCCCCAGCTTCTCCTTACCCAGAAGGGACCTGATTACCTGAAACAGGGCCAATAGGTAGCTAACTGCAGATGCAGTAAGGGTGGAGAAGTATGCTTTGCTGCCCTTATCACAATTTTCAGTGATATATTTTCAGTCCTGAGCCAAAGATAACAAATTATTGATTGAAAATGGAACAAAAGGCAAATGCAACAGAAGGAATTTGTGATGCCTAGTTATTAAAAAAGAATAAGATCCTGCTATTTCAGCTCATATATCAAATGTGAACTGACTGGGGGCTACAAGAAGCATCTGCTTTTCAGCAGCAGCGTGTTAAAATACTGACTTTGAGTATTGGATAGCTCTCATATTGAAGCTATTAAGTAAGTGGCTTCAATAGCTATTTACTATTCAGTAAATAGCTTTAAAAACTGGACGTTTTTAAGAAGAGATTGGACAACCATTTGTCTGAAATGGTATAGGGTTTCCTGCCTAAGCAGGGGGTTGGACTAGAAGACCTCCAAACTCTGTTACTCTATTCTATTCAGTAAATAGTTTCAATCCCCATTGTAGATTAATTTCGACAATATAGGACGTTAGCATTAGTTAGCAAAACCAAGAGTGAGAGAATCTTCTCCCACTTTTTCATTCAAAATTGAGGATTCTGAGGATGCTATGGTAATTTCTTTGAATTGTATCCTATGCCATTGTTACTATTTTTCTCCATTGCTTTTGGCTCACTGAAATTAATAGGGTGAGTACATCTGAGCATGTTGGGAAATGAGAAATACTGACATCATTCTTAGTGAAAGAGTTAGCCCCCCTAGGCTTAAGCTTTAATTAAGCCTGATTTTATTTCTTTAATTGCTTTCACCTTCCCTGCCTTTCCAAGGCTGCAAACTCTTACTCCTGGTTTAGTTTGTGTTTGGAATAATATCTCTGCAATGTAACTAATATATAATTGCAACCAATTATCTTTTAAACTACATTTATACCTGCAGGGGACCGCTTCTGGGAAATTGCAGCTTCTGAGTCATAAAGTTGACACTGCAGCTCCTGTATCCTTTGGAAAGCATTCAGTTTTAAATTGCGTTCCTGGGTCAGCTGGCTTCTTATCTGAAATATGTGTATATATACATGTTTATAAACCCAAATTCATCTTATCCATACTTAAAAAACTGAGAGCACAAAGGAAAGAAAAAATACTTTTAATCTTAGTTCAGTTAATATTGACAACTAACCCAGAGGGTATTAAATTTAGATTGAAGCAACCATAGGACTGCTTGAGAATAAAGCAATTCCATGTGATCAAATGAAGCAAACTGTTTATGTTGGGATTAATTGTACTTTCCTGCTTTCAAGACAGACTAAATGCTAGAGAGCCTTGTGAAAACAAGACTTTTCTAGGTCCTATGTTTTCTTTTTATTTTTCACCCTCTCCCCACTGGCTGTACAACAAACAACAGAGGCAGAAAGGAGATGATAATAAGTTCGGTTCCCTAGCACTACCCATAATGGGGCCGATGCTAATCACACTCCTGGAATTTTGTTTTTAATTTTTTTCTGGCAGGAGAAAGCAACAATAATACGAAATGACAATCTTCCAAACTTCCCTGCGCCAGTTTGGAAAGATTCAGAAAATGAATCAAAATTAACCGCAATTGTGCTCAGGTTACTACAAACAGCCAAATTAATTGCCCTGTGGCAAGGATGGCACATATATGTTTCCTATCAATGTATACTAGCATCAGAACAAGCCTAGAAGTTTAGAATATGTGACTACAGAAAGTCAGAAAAAACATAGGAGAGCAATAAAATATATTAGCTGCAAAATAAGGGTGCCCTTATTCTGCCAGGCAAAAGAGATCTGAAGCTAAGTGCAAGCCCAAGGTGAAGGCTCTTCTGCATGGGTCTAGTTAAGGCACCAGGCCAGAAATCAGTAAACAAGTTCTAGTCCCGCCTTAGGCATGAAAACCAGATAGATGACTGGGTCAGTCACTCTCTCTCTGCCCATCTCACCTCACAGGGTTATTATTGCAGGGAAAATAGGAGAAAGAAGGAGTATTAAGTATGTTTGCTCCCTTGATTTTTTAAATAAAAACAACAAAGGTGCAATAAAAATGTAAAACATCTGGATCATCTTTGTCTATCTGCTATTATTGCATTTTAAAATCCAGATATACATTCTGGTGCATGGCATTTTTTTTCCCACTCATGTTAGCAAGAAGATTTCAAAGCATGCATACATCCTTTGGTAACTCACAAAAATATTTGTAAGCTTACTTGTTGAATTTCTTTCTTCATCTTTGCTTCCTGAAGATGTCTTGTTTTAGAGGATTTTTCCGATTCTTCTGTCGGGTTCAACAACTTCACTTCTCTCTCTTCAAGGTTTTCCAACATTTTTTCCGAGTTTGCTGTCTTAATCAAATCTAATTGCTGCCTTTTACAAAATTCTTGATTAATCTTACGTTCTGCTTCCTGAAGTAAGTATTCCTATATGAAAATGTTAACAAGATTTTGTACAATAGTGTGTTTAACCTCAGGAGGAAAAAAACCGAATTAAGTAAATTTATTAATATACACTATGGCTATACCATATACAGAGACAATATTTTTATCAAAATATATGTTTTGCAACACTGCTTGGAACATTCAAATAAATGATTAAAATTGTAAGAAGCAAACAATATTTCATTCCATCTTTAAGAAATAGCAAGAAGTTAACTTTTTCATTTTTATACTTTTTTTAGGAGTAAGACGTAAAATAATGTCTCACATATTGGAGGGATGTCATTTTATTACAACTATAGTTTAGATTTAGATTGTAACATCAGATTGCTTTCTAGAGACATGTAGCTTGTTCTTAATATTGTATGAGAGACACTCTATGAATTAAAATACACCTGGATAAGCAAAATCGCCTTGTCTGACAGTATTTTGCTTTGAATAATTTATGTAGTATATACTTTTTAAAATTTGCATATTGCTATAACAAATAATTTGTTTCTTTAAAAAGTGAATCCTGAGATACATCACACTATAATGTCATATTAACAAACAAGATTTTAGATGGAGTACTTCCCGTGTCTCTTTATCTAAGATTCTTGGAGCTGGTCCCTTTTTAAATGGCCTTATAGTTAGTGATTACAATAATCTTGAAATCCAGTATTATTGCCCTGGTCTAGAGATTTTTGTCATTAAATAAATTTCTACAATCTGAACCTAAAATTTGTATACTTTAATAACTATTCTGGGTATAAATAAGTTGGATTTAAGTCAATTATTAGGCCAAATATGAAGTTCCAAAGGCTATAGGGAAATAATTAGGTTTTATACACTATCCAAAAGGTATTACATTATATTTTTATCCCCAGGATAATAATCATTTAATCAATAAGAGCATTTCTAAATGTATCATCCAGATAATTACCAAGAGATAGAAAAAAAATCTTTTTATATTTTGGGGAGTTAATGTGAAAATGTGTTTTGCATTAAGAGTGATAAATATTTTCTGAGCAACGCTTATGTTGATTCCATTTATATACTTTAAACAGATTGGGGGTCTGTTAATGGTTACATTTTTGTAGGTGGAAGAAAGTGCACAGGTTCTTGTTAAATTTATATAAGAAAAATGAAATATGTAGAAACACAGTTTAAAGATGAGGGAAATAGGATTGAATTCAGTAAAATTAATAAAAGAAGAGGATTTTGTTGGCTACATGGTATTTGATGAGCTTGGACAGATACCTGTTTTTCCAGTTGTTGCTTCAGCTTTTTATTTTCGGTCTGAGATTCTGCCAAGACTTTCTTTACAGCTCTCAACTGATGATTAAATAAAACTGCCTCTTCTTCCGCCTTCATCTGGGATTGCAGGCACTCATTTTTATTCTGAACAGCCTCCTGTGAAGGCAAAGGATTCAGCAACATCTGAGGTAGAGAATCAAGTCACAGAGACTGGATTATTTACAAAGTTGTTATCTTTGTCTCCTTTATAGGGTGTTTCACTTTGTCTCCTTTACTATGTGTGAAGAGGTCCACACATTTTTTGTTGTTGTACTATGTAGATCTTTTAAGGCTTAATATGAAACAAATAACAAAAATCTTCACTCTTTTCAATTCTGACTCTTAATTTTCATTGCTGCATGCACTGCTGCTTTATTTCACTTCTCCTGAAATAAAAAATACCATCCCCAACCATTAAAATGTGGCCTTCCTCTAGTTTAAACAAACACGTACACAGTAATCAGGTAATGAGGTCATTTTATAATGAAATACTTCCTGCTTCCATTCCCATCTTTTAAAAACTTGGAAATGAGTCATAACTAGCATAAAAAATGGAAAATTGTGACTATTTTTAGAGAGTTTCAGAACGGGAAATAATTTCAATCCTTTTTTTAATTTAAAACCAAAAAAATCATTAAATTTAAGCAACACAATTTTGGGACATGGGGGGGGTAACATTTGGCATACAGTTATGCACTCCTCTAATGAATGCATGTGTATTTTGAGAAGCTGACTAATATCTTTGTGTAGAGAGCTCACAAAAAGCAAAACGTGTCCTGTCCAATCCCAATTTACAGTATGTTATCTAAAAGTATTTTTTAAAAAAAATTGTCATGATTTACATGCTTAATTCTTATACCCTTTTTAAAAAGCCAGTAGCCCTTTTTAGGTGATCTCACCTTCTCTACTCCTTGCAATGTTGTCAAAAATTGTGCTTTTTGCATTGTTTCTTTCCAGAACTTTAAGGCCTTCAGTTTGCATAACAACTTCTCCAATTCACTGTTTTCATCCCGTAGTTCCTGCAACTTCCCCTGCTAAAAGGGCATAGATTCTTTCTATTAGCATCCTCTCCCCCAAAATCCTTGCAACAGTCTTTTAACAATAAGCATCAGTCTCTATCCTTGTGAGGAAAGAGATATATGAATACAAAACAGAAACTTAAGACATGTTAAATTGTATGTCATATAAACTCTTTCCATAATACAAAAAATGTCTATGACTATTCAGGAATACCCAGAGCAGTAGTTTTGATTACCATTAAATGGACCATAGCATATTCTCTTTTTGCGTTATAACATGTATAGAATCGGTCATAAGTTTTTTGGTTCTGAATAAAACTGCAATATCATCTCTTCCATTCCTGATGTACAGTATATACTTTTCAGAGCCTTTTTTCTGATAAAATTAATAATGCGAAGAGTTCATCCATGCTATTTGAAAGATTATAAAGCCTCAGGCTGAACGTCTATAAATTATGCGAAGAGCAAGGACCAGCACACAATTTATCTCATGCCTTTTTTTATTGCTAAATTCAAATTTATAAGGAAAACAAAGATTTTCTATATTTAAATACTTATAAAAGAAATAGATTTTTATCCCTAATGCATTTTTTTCAATAACTTTCTTAATCAAATATTTACGTATATATTTGTCTGTAAAAAAATTAATAAAAAACGCTAATGAATAACATTTGTTTAGCCTTAAATTCATCAGATGCTTCTCCCCCCCCCCAAATATAGCTGAGGTAAAAGGAACTTAGACTGAGAAAAGAGAAGGCTACCTAGGGCAGAGGAACAATTCAAATTAGCCCAGTTTTTTTGGTCTGTAAACCTAAATAAAGTCAATCCCAGAAAGATGTGAAATTCAGACCAAATATATTCTAATTTGTAACACATTATTTTAATGAAGGTGAGAGTCTTGTTTTGTTTGCTTCAATAGCTTTCAGAGGGATTTCTTTAATGCATGTATATCAATCTGCAATTCTCAGCCAGTTTTCTGTCTTTTGGCCCTAGGTCATAATTTGTTTCTTTTATTCCTAGACATTAAGTGAACTAAAGGGCTAATTTACCTGAGCCAAATGTTCTTCAAGCGCACTGTTATCTTTTGTAGATCCATACTTTTTCTTCAGATTAATAATTTTCTCCACACCTTCTTTTCTCACCTCGCTGATGATCTCTAACATTTGTTTGTTCATGCTTAGACGATATTCATCTACCTTTCCCTGCAGCCATAACGCAAAGTCAAACTCTGCATGTCTCTTTTCAAATAAATGGATTTTAAGAAAGCAATTCTGCGAGATTTTTAAAATTCTGAAAACACACAAATAAAATCTCCCCATTTTAACATGATTTGCAAAATAAATACTGACCAGCAACCTAGACTTTTCTCCTAATCCCTACCTACGGTAGTAATCAAAGGCAACATGAGACAATGAAACCAGCTCATTTCTGGGAAAAGTTTTTTGAAGCCAGCTTTCCATTAAATAATCACATTTGACATTGCTTCTGTTTTTGCTGTGTAGTATGTACTGGCATTCTAAACACTGAGCTCTGATAAGAAAAAATGTAGAGAATGAAACCAAGACCGGTGACACAGTGAGTGGAGGGGGAGGGGTTACATTTTGCTTTCTTTCTGCTAAATGATACCATCCTTCACTATGGCACTCTGAAAACAACTCCTAGCAGACAGTTGATCTTCTCACTGGTGAAGTTCCAATAAAATAAAGTAGCAAGGAAGTTAAGGAATTCCATTTACAGTTTAGGAAGTTTGAGAAGTAAGGAAAACACTGACAGAATAAATATGGCACAATTAACGGATTTCTCTGCTGTCTTGTCTACTCAGGGCTTAAGATCTTTGGAACTTAGTATATAGGGGGATTCTTGAGAAATCATAAGATACTATACTAAATTTCAACACCTTTCTGAATAAGCCCTGGAATAATATACTTGATTTTACAACCCCTTGTATCTCTTGTACCTACTTTTATTTGCAGACACACCCAAAATATATTTTGTACCAATGCTTCATAATCCTCTTGAACTTCTTTTCTTATCTTCTCTTTGGTTGTGTGATCATCTCTTTGTAGATCAGTAAGTTTGGCTCGCAGAGCAGTTATTTCCAGAATCATCTCATGACTCAGCCTAGCTATCTATAAAACAGGTAGAAGCAATGAGTTACGATTTTATTGGTAAACGCAATCATTCAAAATAAGTCTTCAGAGCATTAGGGCCCCAGGAGGCATTCATAGACCTCCCTGCATAAAAGCACCAAAGTCATAACCACTAACTTGACTCAGATCCACATCAACAGTTTCGGTGTTGCCTTCTATGACGTGCATTTCCTGAAACAGAACGGAAATGTGCTTTAAACTAATTTTGCCTTTCAGAAATTGCTACCAACTTTTCTCTGTGCTCAGGACAGTAATTTGCAAGCATTGTATTTTTTTTAAAAGAAATGAAGAATCACTTCCCCCTTTCCCCGTTATAGAATCAGTAGCAGAAGAACACCTGTTCTTTTTGATACAATAGCTGATGTTGCTGACGGAGCAGATTTTCGTAAAACATGGAGTAAGTTTCGTAGTTGCTACGTTCTCTGGCCATGACATCACAAGCTAGAAAGGTGAGGCATTTTTTAAAATGGTCCTTTTGAAAGATAATCTGGAAATAAAATCAGAAAATAAAGCTGTTTAAGATTGTTTTATCTCACCATTATTACTTTGTAAGTAACTGAGTGCAACAATCTGACATGATACTCCTTCCTCCTCCTATTTTCCCCACCATAACAACTCTGTAAGGTAGGCATGTCAAACTTGCGACGTTGCGCGATGTATCACGACTTTTTCGCCATTGCCGGCAATGGGGTGCGGTTTCGGCGTGATGCATCCAGCCCACGGGTCGGCAGTTTGACATGCCTGCTGTAAGGGGAGTTGAGCTGAAAAACAGTGACTGGTCCAAAATCACACAGCTGACTTTCAAGATGAAGCTAAAACTCAGTCTCCTGGTTTCTAGCCAGGTGCTTTAACCACTAAACCAAACTGACTCTGTGTTTCTACAGATACAAAGGTAAATTTGGTTTCCACTAGTGCTTCCTCCACAGTTCATTAATAGTGAATTAGATGTACTGCTTATATAAAATCCTAAGATTTATCACCTGCATCTAACACCATGATTTTAATTCAGACACATGAAAAGCCAAATCTGAAGCAAAACACTTGAGAACTTCTACTAGTTGAAGCTGATGTAGTATATGCACCTCTGCATTGATTTCTTGATGATCTTCCATTAGCCTCTGTATAAATGATACAACTATTTCAGGCCTTGTGACAGAGAACATTTCTTGTATGCTGTGATGCTTCCAGAGTTCTGAAAGAGTGAACAAAAGAGCTGCATCAGCAAAATTCAAATCCATGAAATATGGACCACACCAGCTATGACTGCTTTTTAAAAATGGAAGGGCAAGGATTTTTCATAAGGAACATGAAGAAGTGACACTTCCCTTCTCAAACCCCAGGGAAATTGCACCCTCCCAGTTATTGTGCCTCGTGCCCAGTACCACAATTATTGTTAGGGGGAAAAAGTTTCCATATTGACAGAAACTTCCATGCATATCATGTTATTCTTTTCTTCCTCTCTTTTCCCCATTGTCTTTGTTTCATAAAGCAAAACTTGTTCTTGGAGGCAGTGGATGTTTCTTACATAAATGTATCAGCTAGGTCTGTGTGCATAGTTAGATACACATAAACCCTCCACTGCCAAATCCAACAAGGAAAAGGAAAATTCATTAGGAAACAAGAAGAATGATTGCTCAGAGTTTGTGGACTAAAAGTACACGGTAGTCCTCCACTTACAATCGTTCGTTTAATAATTCTTTGAAGTTACAACTGCACTGAAAACAAGTGACTCATTTATCATACTTGCGACCATTGAAGCATATTCACATGATCAAAATCTGGATGCTTGGCGACTGGTTCATATTTATGACAGTTGCCGTTGTCATGTGATCATCTTTGGTGACCTTCTGACAAGCAAAGTCAATGGGGAAGCAGATTCACTTAATAACTGTTACTAAATCAACTGTAATGATTCACTTAACAACCCTGACAAGAAAGGTCATAAAATGGGGCAAAACTCCCTTAACCATCTGGCTTAGCATCAGAAATTTTGGGCTCAGTTGTGGTCATAAGTCACAGGCTACCTGTACTAAAAATGAATGGTCTGTCGAGTGGAGTGGATCCCAGGACTCTCCCAGCATATGCTGAGTCCTCTTTGTTAACACCAAACCTGAAGATCTGTGCTGAATTTGAAGCATTTTCAGTTGTTACCTGTGGGGAGGTGTCTCTCTTCTCTTGCTTTTTCAGATAAAACGAGCGTTATTTCTTTGTTAATTTTCTTTTGTACATCATGGATCATATGCATTTCTAAACTTTCCAAAAGTTTTTGAAACTAGAAGAAAAGCAAAAAAAAAATAAATTCTTTTATCGAAAGCAACTAAATTGATTTAGAAAGTACTGTGAGTACTTTAAATTTTAAACTGAACGAGTTTTTCAAGGACTACTACAATTTTTATCCATGAATGTTTGATTAATACTGTAAGTTAAAAAAAACCCATTCAAATAACTAGTCAACTAAAAATAATCAAATGAATCACAGCACCTTTTAAATAGTACGGTAATGTTGATTTGTTATAAATTAATATTTATAAAGCTGTAGCTGGCAGGTATTTTCTTCACATTCACAAAACAAAAGGAGGTTGTTTTAACAGGACATCAGCAAAAAACCCCAAAAGCCTTTCATATACAGTATATGAAACTAAGTTTTCAAACAAATGATATATATGTTCCTGATGCTTTGTTTGCTTCTTTTGTGCTGTTATATTTTGAGTTATGGCCTGGACTAATCCCAGAGCTTTCTTGGCAAGATTTTTGGAAGTAGTTTGCATTGCCTTCTTCATAGGGCTATGAATGAGTGACTGGGCTAAGCTCACCCAAATGAGTGCTTTGTTCTGATAAATATAACAGAAAGTTCCTGAAGTAGCCTGTTATGATTCCTCCCCACCAGCTTTCTGGCCAAAAAATTGTCTCAGGTTTCCACAGTCAGCAAGGTGGCAATTTTCACCTACTTCCTCATTTTACCTACCTGATTAAATAAACTTGTCAACCAAATTTATTTCATAACAGACCTACTAATCTTTAAGAATCCATGAGGTTATTTATTGGTTTTTCCAGAACTGATTGACATAGCTGCCTCTAACAAACTTGTTTTTGTATTTCCTGGCAACAGGAAAAGCACAAAGCAAACCGCCATATCTTTGTGGGCAGATTATGATCAAAGGGCTGCCGGGCAATATCAGGTGAAGTGGCCCAATAGCATATGTCTGTTTTAGTTTTTATACACTATTCAGGATAAGAAGGCAGAACAGGAATCAAAGGAATACATTTGTTATGAAGTTGCAAGATTTATAAAAAAAAAGGAAGCTTTGCCCTCTCCAAATACAATATACTAATACATTATTTTTATTATGGAAAATAACATTAAATAATGAAGCAAGAATGCATGTAGAAATTATAATAGTATCTGTTGGGAATGCATTTGGCCCGCATGTCAGAGTGCAACTTTATGGACAGATGTTCAGTACACACGTACACAATTACAAATGGCTGTCATTTAAAGAAAGGTAGATAATCCCGGCCATTTCTGCTGGAGATAGCTCCTGTGATCCTTTTTAAATCAAATGCAAACTTGGGAAAAGCCATTGAGAGGCTGATTAAGACTAGGATCTGTTCTTGGCACTTGCCACCAGCAAGATTAGCAAAAATGTTTAAAAACATTTTTTAATAGATGTTGGAAATGCAAACACAAGTCAGGTACTTATTATCATGTTTGGTGTGCCAAAACAAAGAGTTATTGGAAAAAAATACATACGTGGCTAGAAAAGATGTTGGGAAAATATGTAGATTTTAAACCTGAACTTTTTAAATTAGGTATAATGCCAGAAAAGACCGATAAACAAAGCATATATTTGATTCTACATGTAACAACAGCGGAAAGAATTATATTTGCATAGTATTGGAAAAATGAAGAAATACCATCAGATGAAGAAATAATTAAAAAAAATACTAGAATGTGTGGAGATGGATAGACTGACTTTGAAGTTGAAAGAAAAAGAAGAAACGGAATATTATCAAACTTGGGACTTATTTTATCAATGGCTAGAAGAAAGAACAAAGGATTAGTAATTAAATCTGTATTAGTGAATGTAAACTCAGACAACACGTTTGTTGAACAATGCTATCTTGTGGCTGTCTGGAATATTATATATTTTTCTGTATTTTTGTTATTTGTTGCTGCTTGAGCAGCTCTGTAAGTTTTCTCTACCAACAATTAATGTTTACATTTTAATATTTAAAGTTTTAAAAGAGAGAAATTTAATTTTTTCTTTAATAAAATTTTATTTTATCTGCCAGTTGTAAAATTGACTTGCCTCCCAAAGAAGGAATAATGCATACCATAAGTTAGTCATGGAATTTACTGGATGATCATAGATGCTGTCTCTGTTCAACCTGCCTCACAAGATTTAAATTAAATTAAAATGTAAATAGGGAAAGGGAACATAACAGTATAAAACAATAATTGTAACACAATCGTTGTTATATTTTCATATGGAAATTCAAATAAAATCTGGCTAGAGATAGACATCTTCTAATTTGTTAGAGAAAATATCCTTGATATATATATTTTAATGAACAAATACCAATCTCTTATTTTGCTCTGCCATATCTATTTTACCTGATGTGTTATTATATCAATTTTTGAAACTTCTCTAGGGAAGAGTGAACATGATTGGATGGTGCCATATTCTTCAAACTCATCCTCTATACCCCAATGTCTGGCTATGGATCTCATTGCAGCACGTAAGATTTCAGCTCTAAAAAAAATGCAAAGATATATCTCCACACATGGGTCCTTTTGTTAAATAACTTTTCAGCGATCTCAAATGATAGCAATATTTATAAATATCTTCTGTTCATATTGACAATGCCACTGATAATGAAAAGAATATTTCCAATTTGCTTGTTCATTCAGTGTCAAGTGACTAAAGCAATGGAACTAAATTTAAAATTTTAATTCCAAAGTTCTTGGTGCTGAGTTGGACTCTTTGCTTGCAGAAGTTTCATTTCCCAGTTATGTAACATCATCAATGCAACTGCACTGGACCACCAAGAACTCTACAGTTCAACCCTGTATAGGGTTATAACCATCCATTCCATTACACTCTGGGTGCCTAACAAAATTCAGAAAACAATAAAAAATAATTACATATAAACAGGGAGCCTAAACTAAAGCAACCAGAACAATAAACCATACAAATATGAGAGGGCCCCTAAAGATACATCATTAATGTCAGAGCTGGAACAGACCAGATTTTAAAAGCTTTGTGGAACCCCAGGAGAATAGGCGCCATTTGTATCTAGGATTGATGGGGTCCCCAGGGCAGGGCAGGGCAGGGCAGTGATAAACCATGCTTCCTCAATCCCAGCCATTTATGGGAGAGGTCTGAAGTATATCAACTCTGGATGGATAGAAACAACTGGAGAGATGCTTTGGAGAGCTTTATAGCTAATGACCAGGACTTTGAATTGCACCCAGAAGTCTACTGGCTTTATTCACAGTTCTTAGATAACTTAGGAAAGATACCATAAACATTTACGACTGAATTTAATCATATCACTTCCTTGTTTACCCACCTCATAAAGTTGTGAAAACAATGGGATGCGGTTTATGAATACTTTCCATTACAATCACAATCAGTACGTAATATTTCATCATTTCCAAGATGGGGTGAGTATAATAGATTAAATATATGATTGGGTATATTCTGATTTTTTTTAACATGGAATTTCAAGGAGGAAAAGTAAATCAATTTTTCTATGTTCTTATTTATAAATAAGGATGCATATTGTTTGTTGTTAAACTTACTTTGTTTTCAAATTAAATTTAACAAGGAAAACAGGAAAATGAAATGTTGTTTTATTTTTAATCTGCACTACTGAGATTTAATGTGACCGAATGTCTAAATTAAAAATATTTTTACACTAGGATGTAACTTACTCATACAATTCAGAAAATTGCTTATACAGAGGAACTGTGTTGATATCCTCAACTTTCAATTTAAGTCTTCCCCATTCTGCCTTTAACATTTCCAGTTGCTTCCATCGTATCAGATATGATCTCTGCAAAGCATATGAGGTCATTGTATCAGGTGGTGCTATTAAAGCTTTTCCTTTTGCTTCAGCCGTTGATGTTGAAACCTGCGGAAACAATGATTGGAAAATACAAGATCATTTTTAGAAAGAGATTTTAACAGAGCTGCAAAAGCACATTTTTGCCCATGTAACAAATTCAAAAAATTGAGAAAACGATTTAAATCTACAGCTAGTTTATGTCAGTCCACATTAATACTCAGTGTCAAAAGACCTCAACATATACATTGTGTGAATTAACAATTGAAGACTTTTCATCCTGTTATTCTTAAACCAATAAAGGAGAATATTTGTAGCTCAGGGTTGAAATGGGGGGGGGGGGTCCTTGGTGGTCTCTGAGCTTGGTTGTTTTCTTGCAGGAAAGACTTAGCACTGTTGATGTTCCTAATTTAGGTAATGAAATGCCTGCAAGAAAACAACCAAATTCAGAGAGCACCAAGGATTCCTCGGTTATTCTTATTTCTGAGTAAATTATATAAAAATTGCCTGTTACTGACCACTGATAGTCTCTAGTCTATAAGTGACTGATACTGTATTTGACATGGTAGTTCAGGATTTTTTTTTAAAAAAAAGTCAAGTCTGATATGAAGTCATTTAAAGATATGCTACCGTTCAGTTATATAATATGATACATTCTAGCAAAAGCTGCCACACATAATTTTTCTGGAACTTGAACAATTTTATCATGTAATTAATGCAAGAAATAAAAGAATGGCAGAGTTGAAGCTTTTTATTTATTGCTAAATGCAAATGTGGTCAGCCCCAAACAAAACAGAACAAGATTTATGCACAATTCTACCTGTTTTACAGGTTTTTGCACTTCTTGGTGGTCAGTCAGAATTTCGGAATCCCAGAGAACATCTTCCATTACAAACTGTATCCCAATCAGCTCTCCATGAGCTACTTTTTGATCCTCAGTGCTCAGACTACATAGACATAACTAGGAAAGATGAGATGAATTCAGAACTTGATTGGATTTTGACAAAAGTAAATCAATCATTGATTCATCTAAGAAGTCATACTAGGGCATGAAATATGATTGTATGTTACCAATGTGTTTAATTCAGATATGGCAATATAATTTGTTCTAGGTGCAATAAAGTGTCATCTGCATAGTGTTGACAATCCAAAGAAATCCAAGATGTACTAAGAAATAAAAGCCTCATACCTGCATACTAGCATGTATGGGATTTAGGTTGCTTATGGTGTCAGGAAATAGACCTCCTTTTGCTAGGAACGTCCTCCATGGAAAAAACATCAATGCCTAAAAGAAGGAATGATAATTGCAGAGTTCTAATATTAAGTTCCAGGCACATGTATCCTACCTCTAATATCCTTAAGTCCAGCTTAATTGACAGAAGTGTGCATTGATCAATGATCTGTGTGGGCAAAAAAGGAACAGTAAAGTTCTGGGGGGGGAAACCCCACTATAGATGCTTCACACCCTTATTGTCACAGTGAAAATCCCTATGTGGGCATAATTTGTTCCATTTGCTCTTCATCTTCAGCTACTATCATTTTAGAAATTTCCTTGCCTTGTCTTTTTCTCATCATGTAAGTGCTATTAACATTAAAGAGAATAATATTCCTGAAAAAATGAGTTTCAGCTAGCCTGAAAGTTATTAAATTCACATCCAGTGCTCCATGAATGGAAAGAGACATCCATCCCCAACCTGGCAGAAAATCTTCAAGCTTTCAGGACTCAGAGTGAGCAAGGCAGGCAGATTAGGCAAGTTGCTACCTCCATGCTGTGGCAAAAGGCCAAGCACTGCTCTTCCATGCAAGATGGAGCAAGAAGGTCCCTATGGAATCTGACAAAAGTCTGCTTTCTGGGCTCCTGGTCAAAGAGTTACTTGGTGGTAAGATGGGTGGTCAATGAATTAATTAATTAATTAATTAATTAATTAAATAAATAAATAAATAAATAATAAAGGAAAACTGATATGCACATGGGGAAGAGACTTTACATAAGTCTCATAGGTTGTCAAGACCAGCTCTTGGGTTACAAACAAAACAAGTTAAAGACTTATGTATAGAGCCAGTGTGGTGGAATGGTTAAGGCAGTAAACTACAGACTGTGAGTTCTAGTCCCACCTTAGCCACAAAGCCATTCGGGTGACATTGGGCCAGTCTTTCTCTCTCAGCCCTAAGAAGTAAGCAATGGAAAAAACCCACTTCTAGGAGAGAATATTTGTAGCTCAGGGTTCAACCATGGAGTTCTTAGTACTGTCTGAGCTTGGTTGTTTTCTTGCAGCCATTTTATTACCCATCTAGGGAACACAGTTGTGTAACTAGATGTTACCTCATTGACTAAGGAAACATCTGCAAGAAAACAACCAAGCTCAGAGAGCACCAAGAACACCAAAACTACTTCTGAAATCTTCCAAGAAAACTGCAGGGACTTGTCCAGGCAGTCACCAGAAGTCAACACTGGCTTGAAGGCACACAAACACATACATAGAGAGACAGAAAAGACTTATGTGTGGACTTGAAGTTTTACCACCGCCCATATTACAGTGTTGAAGACCACAATTTTTTATTATAGGAAAATGCTGAAACATGAGTTCCTCAAAGTACAGAGCTATCATGGAAAGAAATCTATTGACTGCCCTGAATACTGTCAAATGTTTTAGCTCAAAAGCTCCTCTCCACAGATTTGTGTAGTCCTCTGCTGAAATTATGAATTCTATCATTACTAGTAAAACCAAAAATTGCTAATTACAATATTGTTTAGACTGTAAAAAAGTAGATCAGAAAGATACATTAATCCCCTGCAATAGACATTTGCCTGAACCTTTTCATTTTAAGAGCCACACTATTCATATTTGTACCTTCTATATATGCCTTTGGTACAGATGAGAAGAAAAGCACTTCAGCTGTTTTTAATTGTTAAATGCTGAACAGAATTCTTTGGAGAATAGGTGAGATATAAATGTTTCTGAAAGATGTCTTAGAAGTTAACACAAATATATCTTGAAAAAGCTACTTTACTCACTCTCTGCCCATGTGGATCTAATAGCTGTGGAATTTGGAGTTGAGAAGCAAATGCACTTCCAAAAACCACATTACTCATGGGAGGCAATGCGTGGTAAATGTTGTCCGTAATACTCTGATATGCAGAAACATTTCCAGATGATAAAAATGCTTCCCTGAAGGGTTGTTAGAAAAACAGAACAATACTTACTATTATTGTGAGTTATCCAGAATTGCTTAAGATGGATGAACATATAATTTTTTAAAATAAATAAAATAAGTGTTGAAAAGACAAATGCAATTTCCAATTTATTCTGCTTAAACATTGCATGATGCATTTCATTTGTTATACGGTGACAACATCTACCTGAAAAGTGATCTAGCATTTCCTATTCTTTTATCCCTGGATCCCTACCCGGATGCTGAAGGAGGTCAAAAGGGGTTTTCTCATTAAAAATGCACTGCTTCCTATTATTCCCATGGAGAAAGAATATTAATTTCAGCTGGTAACTTCATTATGCTCTTGGACCTCAATGAAAACAATTTGGAATTTCTTATTCTTCCACCCTTTTATTCCAGTTCACACAATACATTTCCCATAAACACTCCACAACTTATACATTTCACCAGTGAAGAGATGTGCAGACTCACTCTTCATATGTGATCTTAAATGCATTTTATAAATAAAGTAGTGTACAGGTTAAATAAAATAAAAAAGGCCACAATAATCAGTGCTGTTTAAT